TGTGCTTAGCCTTTTTCGGATCGCAAGCACAATCTTATCAGGATTTCTTATTAAGGAAACTCTATAAACTTCTTCCAATCAATGCACTTACAAAGCTTCTTTCAAACCTTCATGTACAATGCACAAAGTTCTAATGGATAGCTTAGTGTTCAGAAACACTGGAGGAACATTGTTCTTCCCCACCACTGTTTAGCCTTATGCACATGCAGACCAACACCTACATAATTCTGGTTATTTAACTGTACTGGTGTAACCACAGCCTATGAAATTATGATGTCTGAGACCTGTGTTACTATGTCCCTTTGGTTTCATTTCGGAACTGTATTCTCCATTATGGGATTTAGCTATGCCTCTGGCTTAACCCAGATTTTTTCCTTCCTCTACAAGGTTGGTGGAAGCAAGAGTTCCTTGCTCTGTCCTCCCCTTGGCAGCCATTACAGTCCGCAAATGAATGGTGTAGGCTGTGTTGTGAAGAGATGGGGGATTTCTGAGAATTGGCAGAGGCATTCTCCACCAGAGAAATACTAAAATTAACAGAAGGTATCTAAGGAAAAGAACAGAAGTCTGCTGTGGAGTCAAAGAAGGGGCCCACATATGAATAGAAGCAGAGAATCTAGTGTGAGCAGACTAGCAGTCCTTATCACGTGCTCACCAAGGCAGAGACAGGCCAAAGAGTAGAGCATGAAAGACGAATGCTTGGACACTAAAGGAAAACCACAAAGCTGCTTTGCTTGATCCTGTAAGCATTTCTTGGAATGCATGGAGATTAAGGGCAAACTTATGGGCAGCTACCTCACACCAAGTCAATCCATCACTCCTCCTAGACAATTCTAACAGGTAGCAACTAGTCCTGTTCTCTCCTATCTTGGGCAACCTATAACCCGAAGCCTAATTTCAAGTCCCTTGGCCAGTAAGCAGTAATGTCTCTCCTCCAGTAGCCTGCTTGGCAGGGAATAAACGAAAACAGAGAAGAGCCATACCAGTTCAGGCCAAGTGCATAGCTGTCTCCATTTCTTCTGGAGGGAGGATCTGTCTATCTGTCCATCCTCCAAGCTAGTAGCCACTGACAGCCTTACCCTCCATGACTAGCTAAACCTCTTTTAAAGCCTCCCACATTGGTGGCATCATTACCTCCTGTAGTAGAGAGTTCCATATTTTAACTATGTGGTGTGTACAGAAGTATTTCCTTTCATCTGTCTTGAATTTTCTACCACCCCATGTTCTAGTATTAAGGTATAGGTTACACACCTTCCATAGCCTGCATCTCACCTTTTCTTTAAGCCCAAAACCTGCACACCGTGTACCTTTCCTCATATGGTATATCTCTAGCTCCATGATAATTTTGGTTGCCCTTTCCTAGTTCTTCAGTACCTTTTTTTGAGGGGAGGTTATCAGAACTCATAAAGAGACATAAAGTATTTCAACTTTGGTTGCACTGTTGCATCATAGCGAAGGTGTTATGATACTGGCAGTTTTATACTCAATTCCTTCCCCACTGGTTCTCACTGCAGATTTTGCCGTTTTCACAGTAGCCACACCCTAGGCTGGCATTTTCATTCATTTGTGCAGCAGAATACCAAGGTCAGGTTCCTTGTTCAATCACTGCCAGCTCAGATCCTATCTGCATATGTGAATGTGGATCTTTCTCTCTCTCTCTCTCTCTCTCTCTCTCTCTCTCTCTCTCTCTCTCTCTCCTTTTGCTGCAACGTGGATCACTTGCTTGCATTCAAAGTGCATTTGCCATTTTTATACTCATTCCTACAGTCTGGAAATATCTTTTGGGAGTGCTTTACAAACCCTTCAAGTTTTTACTACCCAAGTAATTTTATACAATTAATAAACTTGGCCGCTTCACTGCTAACTTCATATCATTCATGAACAAGTTAAAAAGGACCAGTCAGATGCTCCACTGAAAGAATTACCTATTCTTTCGTGCTGTTTCATATTCTTTAACTAGTTACTAATCCATGAGAGTCTTCTCCTGTTATCCCCTGACTACAGTTTGTTTGGGAGTGTTTGGTGAGTTTGTCAAAAGTTATTTGAATTCAAGTCTGCATAACTTACTGGATTGGCCCTATCCATATGTTTGACATTCTTAGCCCTAAACAATAAGTGCATATGACTTACCTTTGCCGAAGTTATGCTGATTCTTCTTTAGCAAGACTTGTTCTACATACTTACTAATTTTATCTTGAACAGTTTCCACAAGTTTATCTGGAAAAGACATTAAGGGTTCAATTTTCTATGTGCTTAAACTGAACTCTTATGCCCACCAACTAACTGACTTGTAATTCCCTGAATCATGCCTGGATCTCTTTTTTAAAAGACTGGTGCTATTTTTTACCAGAGTACTAAACAGTAACACTGGTGTTATTTCCAGGCCTCTACAACAGAGGACAGTCTTAGGAACATGCTGTATATATTTGTGGTATTGAGCCTTTCAGATCAATACTATCTAGATCCAGTTATTTGTTTTCAGGAGTCTAGAAAACTAAGAAGTCTAGAAAAATGAGTTCTAGAAAACTATTTTTCTATTAAGGAGTCTAGAAAAATAAGTTCTAGAAAACTATTATTTCTTGTTGCCATTATTTGCCTCTATCCTTCAGATCCATTCTAGAAAACATCAGATGGTCCCTTCATCTTCTGAACAGAGATTGGGGGAAGTTTCACTTTCGGCTCTGCTCCTTTCCTATCTGCCACCATCCAGCCCCCACAAATTATGTGGGCCTCAACAGCAAGGCTCCTAGCTTTCTTTGAATCTGCAAGGCACTTCGTAGCATATTCTCCTCAGTGCCCTCTGCCCTGGACTGAATGGAACCCACACTCACCACTTTGGGACATTCTAGGATACTGGCTAGGAAAAAACATGAAGTCCAATGAAGTCCTAAGCTCTATGCACAGGAACAAGTCATTTTGGATTTGAGTTTTCTGTTCTCTGGAAGAGTAACTTTCATAGATAATAAAGCACAGCATATTAGCACTTGAACACTCTAACCAGACTCATATTTTGCCCAAGAATCTTGCAGTACTGCAGCAATCAGATTTGAGACGGTGATCCTATTAACATTTAAATGGAAGAGGGCCCCAGTGAGGGCACTATAGGTTGCACTACAGTCTATTATTTAACATATATACTGCATTTCTATCTTTATACCAAAAGCAACAGGATAAAAATCACTTCAGCTAGAGAACTAAACGGTTCAGAGCCAAGAAAACAGAACTATAAGAGCTAAAAGACAATCCAGTGCACACGTGCCCATGCATCAGCTTCACAGAACACACTGGAACTGCATCATTCCAGGACGTAAGGAATCAAATTTGTAGACAGAAGCAGAACACTAAACCTCAGAAGCTAATACCTACAGCCCTCTTTGCCAAGGATAGTGCTATGCTGCGATCAACTGTATACAATCACAAATTAGAATCATGGCCTTTGTGTAGCATTTAGGCTCACAGCTGAGCTCCAAAGCAATATGTTGTCGCTCTTTGTGTTTACAAGGACTTTTGTGCTTCTTTTCTAATATAGATTTGCAGACCACCAAGAGAGTCCCAAAAACCCTGGTAGAACCCATGAGTAGAAAAAGGTCACCACTTGAAAGTATAGTGTACGTGACCTGGACTGGCAACCTCTCTGAAACCCATCCATGCATAATCCAAAATCAGGGCTGGGGATTACAGCATTGTAGGCTTTCAAGTTAGATTTGTAAATTATTCCCATTAAAAAGCTCTGCTGGAAAAGTTGATTTCAGATCTATTCCTAACCAGTACTAAGCTTAATGAACTACAGAATGGCTCTTTGTACACAGCTGAGACATTTCTTCCACTTCATTCTTTGCTTCTTTTTTCCAATTGTTACCGGAAGCCATGTGCATTACTTAAAACACATCTCTTATCTTTAGAACCAGACTTAGTCATACTTAGAGTAGACCCATTGAATACAGTGGAACTTAAGTTATGACTAATTTCAGTCCCATTATTTCAATGGTTCTACTTTAAGTTTGATCCAACCCAGCAAGGCTTTTTCATTCCATCCCAAGCAAATTATAATTAATCAGATCTTCCTGGCATGTGCTATGCTTAAAACAATCATTAGATTTTTAAAGCTACATTAAAGGTGTGATTTGTACTGAATCATTATTACAGGATTTTCCATTATTTAGCATAACTGCTAAACCTGTAGCAATTAGAGCTAGAAAGGCCAGGTGCTTAAAATAAAACCTTAGCCTAAAATAAAATAAAATAAATAAAATAAAATAGTCCTGTGAAAGAATGAAAAGCTCTTGACCAAACAGATTGGTGTACTGCAGTACTAAAGTTAAGCACAAGTTAAGCACAAGTTTCCAGGATCAGTCTTGTCTTAATTAATCTCAGTGCAAGGCTAAACAGTTCCACTCACAAGTTAGCTCACTGTATTTGATGGGCTTACTCTCAGGAAGGTATGTAATGGATTAGAGTGTAAGCCTTACTACATTTTCCAAGTTAGCTTAGTTAAACTGTGGTAGCAGAGTAAACCTGGCTTAGGAAACACTTTCACAAGAGGGTGGAGCCTGAAGTTGATTATCAAGTGGACTGCATTATCAGGTGTACATCTTTCTTTTGATGACCAATTAGAGGGAAACAGCAGTCTTAATGGAACTTGGAATTTATTTAAAAGACTGGAACTGACCCTCTTCTCTCTCTCAAATATAATCTGTCATAGGGAGGTGGTTTCTTTGCATTGACTAATCCCCATTGTGAAGATGTTTTGGGGAATATTTATCTGTTTCTTTTCTACTAGGCTACTCTATTCTGGTGTTCTGGGTACTTCGCGTTCCAGGGATGAAAGAGGCTCTTGGCAATTACCACTGTCGGAGGTGGAGGCCTCTCAGTCACCTCCAACTTTGTTGGCTCATCAGGATGCAGAAAATGGCTATGGCCTACAGCTTTCCCTTTTCAAGGAACTGCCGAGCCACAGTCACCAGAAGCTGAGGGATCGCATTTCAAGGCCACAACCAGATTCTACAGCTCTGAGATACATGAAGAGGCTCTATAGAATGTTTGCCACCAAGGGAGGGATTCCGAAGCCCAGCAAAAGTCATCTCTATAACACAGTCCGTCTTGTCACTCCACATGCTGAATGTGAACATCTCTCCAAGAACCAAGAAAGAGGTATGTAAGATCTTGGGTTTGGATGAACTTCTCCTTCACCCCTTTCTAAGCATAAAACTGAGTAATTCTCATGGATGTCATAAATCAACGGAATTGCTGTGCTTGTCTTTTATATTGCTCCTACCAGAGTTTTTAAAAAATGTAGTATATGTAACCTTAACAGCAGGAGTGGGCAACTTACAGCTCTCCAAGTTTTGAACTCCCATCACTCCTTGCTGATAGCTTGGACTGATAGGAATGATATATCAATACATCTGGAAGGCCACAAATTGCCCAGCCCTGCTTCAGAGATAATGAAGCTTTCTGGTCAAGCTCGTAACAGTATTCACTAGCACTTCATCTAGCTTAAAGCTTTTTTTCCTGTAGCTTGGATATGGGGCATTATTGTTTTGAGGGAAAGAAAATCAGAGCAGTTGTGTGTCCTTCTGAGATCTGTGTTTTGGAGTGGAATGGCTGAGTCTTTGCTCTTCATTAAGGGCTATAGATAAATATCTACAGAAAAATAATTCTGCACAGTGGGTGGACTGTTCCTCTAGCAGCTCATTTTATTTGAGTCAAGCAATATGTTTGTGAAAAATACAAAGTCATGATATGTTCACCCTTCCCTGTTCTTGAACTACAAAGGGGGAAATGTTTTGTGTCTGGATTTATTTTTAATACATCAAAACAAGGGTGAAGTCATTTCACAAATCACTTTTTACTTGAATTATGCTGATTTTATGATGTCTTTTGTCCCTCAGTTCTTTATTTCCCCAGTGTTATCCCATTTCTCTGTCTTCCCCGACTCCTGGGACTCTAGGGAAATAGATGAGGTGGTGCTACTGTTGCATAGCATTGGGTAGATTGAGGAGGCCTTCAGTCATGATGCTTACTAGCTGACCTTGGATGAGTTAGGGATAGGCTGGGATATAACAGGATAATCTTCCTACCTGTGTATAATATCAGTACAACAGAAGAAAGGATAGGACTTCAGTGTAATGATCCATGTTAGAAAGTTGTAAACATATGGCTCTAGAATACTGACAGGCAAGATAAACCTATTGAAATGTAGCACTATTTAGAATTACTGGCTTTACCATTGGCATAGGAGGAGAATGGAAAGCTCTGGCAGTTTTTCTCTAAACCTTTAATTCCAATGCATTGAAATATTAATGTAGGATCAATGGCTACAGGTTTGGTATAATATTTCTATTTCTATTGTCAATATGACATTATTGTTTTTGCTAATGTTTTTCCTGAGTGCTTGAAAGAGTTGGTTGAAAAATGTGCTAAGGGTTCCAGGTTTAGTATGGTAAGTGAAAGCCTGGTTATAGGACTGGGTTCACACTAGTTATGACTTCAATTGTAAACACATTGCTTTAGCTCTTGCTTCATAAATTTTCTCTCATATATAAAAGCAATTTATTAATGGTCTAGTTGGAACCTGGAATGTATGTTTTGGGGGTCTGCAAAACATCTCAAATTTCTCTAGGGATTTATTACTATTCCATTTCTATACTGACCAGCTGAAGATTTCTGAGCAGTTAAATTAAACAGTAGTTGATTACTAACAAAACAGTTTGTTTTTAAATTATCTGTCAAATCTGCAGGTCTAAAAATTGTCCCTTAGTAACAGACTGCAAGGAAATTGCTTTAATCACTACAAATGTTTTTCTTTTGCAGGAGACCTTCATTCAGTGGACTTGCTCTTCAACTTGGACTATGTTACCACCTTAGAGCACTTATTCAAGTCAGTCTTACTTTACTCATTTGACAGGCCGGTTTCTAAATCTTTAGCTATTACATGCACATGCAATCTACTTATAAGGGAGCATGTTGCCTCTAGCCAAGTGTGTCCCAATATCTCACATGCAGTGACTTTTAACCTCCATGTTGAACTTGGACGCAAGTGGGTTGAGATTGATGTGACCACTTTCCTTCAGCCTCTGATAGCCTCTGGCAAGAAAAGCATTCATATAGCTGTAAATTTCACTTGCCTGAAAAATGATGAGACTCCCAGCTATAATATGGCACGGTTATCTCCTTCACTTCTCCTGTTCCTCAATGACACGAGTCAGCAAGCTCACCATCAGTGGAATTTTCTCAAGCACAAGAGAATGAAGCCAGCACTGTTCAAGCAGAAAAAGAGTTTGAATGAAGAAGCAAGAAAAAATCTCAAACAGGGCAAAAGAGCACCTCGTCACAGAAGAGAGGCAGGTGGGAAAGTAGAAAACACGCCATCTCCAATATATGATTTAAGCCAGTACTACAGACAGTACCTCTTTCCCCAAAATGAATGTGAGCTTCACAACTTTTGGCTGAGATTCAGCCAGCTGAAGTGGAACAGGTGGATCATTGCACCGCGCAAATACAATCCCCGCTATTGCAAGGGTGAGTGTCCAAGGGTAGTTCGGCATCGCTATGGGTCACCTGTCCACACAGTGGTACAGAACATCATATATGAAAAGCTGGATTCTTCAGTCCCGCGGCCTTCCTGCATTCCTGCTGAGTACAGACCTCTGAGTGTCTTGAAGATGGAACCTGATAGATCAATTGTGTATAAAGAGTATGACAATATGATAGCCACCAAATGCACTTGTCGGTAAAATCTTGATTTGTTAATGGTTGTGTTTCAGTATTGTTCCTGAATGTTATAAAATGTTGCCTGCTATCAGTTGAAAAAATAGGATTTAGCATAGAATACTGTAGCAGCTATTTCTAAAATAGCATTTGTTTTTGTTAGCCCCTTTTGATTATAAAATATCATGTGTGAAATTGGGCACGAGAAGGTTTTGTTCCATTAAAAATGGAAAAAATCAATTGTACAATGTTTTGGGTGGGGGGAGCACTGTTTCTCTAGAAAATAAGGGGAATACTTGTCCTTTCACACCATTTTTGTGTGGTTAGTTCCTCCTACATTAAAACTTTTTATGACTAATTTTATGACAAGTGTCTAGGCAGAGAAGGTTTTACTATTGCTAACTTCTCAATCACTTAATTTATATAGTTAATTTTAGTGATTGAAGCTGGTTGTCTGAGACAACTCCTGTTCTTTATTATGATGACTACCAGATGTAAGCTTATTTTAAAGCAATGGGTAACCTTTATGTCTTAACTCTGAAGGCTCTCATGTTATAAAAGCATGTAATATATAAACATCCTGGTTCTAGTCTAGGAAGTGACTTGAGTGACTTTACACATGTTAAAATCCCTTTTGTGCAGGCACTTCTGGATAGTGGTAACTTGTATAAGTGAAACATGCAGATTACCATGTATACGTTTATCATATACTGCAGAAAATGTTATATGAAAAATGCAGAATTACAAATCATACAAGTTTCACCCTAGGTTCCATGCGGAAGTGCCTTCATGCAGCTTTTTAAATGTGGGATGTGACTCTAGATTCCAAAGAAAATTCCTGTTGCATGAGTCTATATCGGATTGGATGGATGAGCTCTGTTAAACTGGTATTCAGCAATGTTTAAATGCTTGCTGCCTTCTCTTCTGGTTGGCTTATGAATGGGAAACATCATTCACCTAATAGGAAATAAAATACAAAGTTACATTCTGGTGAAATAATTAAGCATATTTGTAAAAAGGTAGGTGTGTTCTATAGTGACAAGCTAGCTTAAAGCATTTTAATGTCTGTCTTTTGTTGCTGGATTGAAATGCCATCCAAGTGTATTTATAAACCTCTGAACACTTGTTGGAAATAAATGTGAAGCAGTTACAGTTTGGCTTGGTTTTTTTACCTCTTAGTACTTTCAGATAATTAATCGCTACCCTCCCTTTAGCAGTGAACTTAGTAGTAGGTGGTCAAATAAGTGCTTCTCAGGAGGAAATAGTTCTGTACCTAGGTAGGAACAGTTAGGCTATGTACATTTGAACAAAGTTTTTGAAAGCCCTGCGAGCAAAAGGATTCAAGCTCTGTACAGCACGAGGCGAGCCTCCCTTGCCCCTGCTGTACCTCCAGACCCCTAGCTATTATAAATCACTTAGTGTCTAGGTTAGCATGTTGAGGTGGGGACTGCAATATTTCCATTTGTTTCCTAATACTGAATTTTTTTGTCTAAAAGAAAACTTGTGGTAAATTTCCAAAAGAGCCCTAAACCAATATTGAGCTGCTTCCTTTCCCTTGTCTCTTTGTACAGGTGACCCTGCTGGTCATATATTTCCATGTATGAGTGGAATATCAGTCCAAAAAGCAAAGCAGTTTTGTACTAGGTGACAGTGGTCATGATAAAACTAGAGGTTTTAAGAACTGAGTGAATAAGTTTAATTCTAAAAGAAAAAAACCCCTAAGCTTTTAACCTGAAAGCAAGGAGAATAAAATCTATTCTGAACAGAAAGTCAAATTTCCTCTAACGTTTTACCTACTTTAGCCTACCAAGCAAAGACAGTTTTGGTCTTATGGGACCAAGAATCTGAAGTAACTGATGATGCAGGCCACATAAAAATTATGCAGTGGTATTGTAGAATCATACTCAAGGTCCAGTGCTCAATCTTATTAGAAGGAACATCAACATCAAATGCTGCCTTGCTCAGACTTTGCAGGTCCCTCTGAGCCTAGCTACAATTTCAAAGTAGCTGGGAAGAAATGAATATAATATTCCTTGTAATGCAAGACATTTTGGAAGTGGTTTGGTCTTGAATGGGCAATTAAGACCCAATAGGTTTGAAAAAAGTTCTTCTTGATGGAGATGTAAGCTTCTAGAACTGGTTTGTTACAGATCAATGCATATAATTCAAAATTAGCCCTTGGACTCTACACATGTGGTTTGAATACTTTCATGTGAGATACATCAGTAACACTGAGGTTACAATTTGTATTAACATGTAAATGTGAATGGAAGATGCAGAAATAGCAAGGCATTGTGCAGATGTTGAGAAGGGGACTGGCCAGCACAACAACCTGTCTTGAATAACTAGCCATGGTAGGCTGAAAGGTTGTCGAAGGCCAAGTATAGTTTCTACAAAGAAGCTATCATGAAAACTCACTGCATACTGTAAGAGAGGTTTGACCTTTCCCAAGTCATAGTGTTGGCTGCAACCGGCAGGACAGTTTTATCAAGGAGTGTTGCAAATGGCTATAGAATCACTCAGCAAGAGCAACAAACCTCTCTTACGCTTGCTTCTGTGATCTTAGCAGTGACTGTCCCTTCACAGATGCTGAAAAGGCACTTTGGAAGGACTGTCACTTGATCTTTTAAAGTCTCCAAAAAGTACAATTGGGGTAAATTTTTTAGCTCCTGAAATTTGCATATTCAAAATGGGTGGTCCTCTGCAGGTGTGCAAGAGCATAATTGCAACTATCTCATAGAAGGTGAGACTCCATATAGGCTGATTTGTGCACAGTTGCCAGGTCCAAGGTACCGAGTTGTCAATAGAGAAGTACCAGTAAAGGGCAAAAAAGGTAAGCCAAAAAGGGGTGGGGACACTTTCACTTGAAAGGTATGAGGAATCCATGGGCCAGAGGTGGAAATGCAGTGGGCTCTCTGGGCTTGGCTCCCCAGACTCTGGTCTGCTTTGCTGTGGCTCTGAGTCTGAGTTCAGTCTGGCACATCCAGTGTTCATGGGGTGCTCACCAGGAATGGAGACCCATGAGACTGCTGCCCAAGCAGTGTTCTCTTCCTATGTCACCTGCAGCAGCCTTTGTGTCGCTGCACCCGATGTGGAAGCAAGTTGCCAGTTGTACAACCTTAGTTTCATGAGCATTTGTAGGCTTCCATTTGGCTTGGCTTGCTGTCTATTACTGGGTTAAGCACAAGAGGAAGTTTACAAATGCAAGAAGAGCAGATTCTGCTAGGTTTTGTCCAAACCCTAATTATCACCGTCTGGGCAATGCAATCCTCTTCATTTGTTGTATGTTTAACTGACAGTTCTTAGAGTCATCCATCTTTTCAAGTCTTCACCTACTCCAGAAAGGGCAGATAGTAACTTCCCCCACCGGTGCATTTTTTTGGAGCAGTTATTGCAAGTGCATGACTTTCCCTTTCATTTACTTCCTGGCTGTTAAATGTAATTTATTTCTGCAGGTGCTTTTAGAACTGCAATAACCACTGCAGTAAGTGCTGCAAAAAACAAAACAAAAAAAAAAAAGGTAATGCATAGGGAGATCTCCCCATTCTAGAATAGCTGGAGACAGTAATCTAAGTGGATAATAGCATGGCTGGCAGCCATCCTAGGCAGTATAGTACATACTGATGAAAAGTGTACTGTGAATAAAGTGTTTGTGAGCCTTTTAAATGTGATAAAAAGTCTTGTGCATAGAATATATGGGTAAATGCCTGCATCATCCTTGATATCATGGGCCTTTGTGCCACACTCTGAAGACAGGTTAAGTCATTTTGGTATTTTCACAAAGAAATCCAAACACCTCCCTCTACTGGATTGACCCCTCCATTCTCAGTTGATAAACACATTTGGAATGTCATGGGTATGGTCTCCAAATGGCTGCCACAGTAGGTGTAGCCAGACACAAAACTGAATGCTAAAAGCAACGTTAACTTGCCCATAGGGTAAATCTGATTTAAATCACTAGACAGGAAGACTAGATTTAAATCATGGTTGTGCACACATGCCTACCTTACCCATATGTAGAGGAACTTCATTAAAGTATTCCCAAGCTGGGTCTCCTTTACAGCCTGCTCTCAATAGCAGTTTTATCCTCCAGGGAAAGAATAATATGATACACTTCAGGCTACTCACAAAAAGATCCAAAGACTTGTGGAGTATTCTGCTCAAAAGGTTCATTTTCATTTTTACTGCTTGCCCCTCCCTGCTCACACTTAGCTTCTTCTTCTTCTTCACTGAATTTTTTTATACTTAGCACATAAGAGGTAAGGGGTTGATTCTGTGTATATAGATTTGCAAAGGAACAGTAAGTTTAAGGTCTTTTTCTCAACTCCATACATTTATTTTATAGCATTTTTGCTGTGAAGAAAAGGGATGTGAATACTGCAGACACAAATTTACAGTTTTGAGAACTGTAAAACCAAGCATCTGTGATAATACGTACCTTCTAGATAGAAAAACTGTCCAATGATCTTACAGAACCCTCTGGAAAAGAATGACATTGTGAATGGAATAATGGAACTTATTTACCAAAAAATTTAAATGTTGCATGAATATACAGTCTCATGTATATAATTAATCCTTATTTGATTATGAATAACCTTTGCACTAGAACGAACAATGAGGTTGGAACTCCAAAACATAAATTCATTATTCTGAAGTACTGGTTTTCTGCTAAAATATCCATTCACTAAAAAGTGATGGGGCTATAAGACAAGCAACTAAGCCAGGAATGTCACTTGGGATCCAGATTTTTTGAGGGGAAAAGATGGCTCTGGATGCTAAAGCTTCACTTTTCATCATATCACTTTTCATTAAAATGAAAATCACAAGTGGAAGGGAGCCATGCAGTGTTGGTGCTCACAGTGGTGCCCACTGGCAGTAAGTTGGAGACCGCAGCTTTATTGTGATTAAAATAAGATGGTTTACAATGGAGTGCCCTTTGATGTATCCTAATAGCAATTCCCTCATACTGTCTAATGCTAAGGTGTCCGTATACTGGAACTGTGAAATGTAGGGCTGTGGCAGGCTT